ACGTGAATAACGTAGCTGAAGTCGACGTACTTAGATCTATTCACCGCGGTGTCTTCACTGCGGTGAGTCGACCGCTGCCACTCCCCCGTTGACTCTGCCTGCGCCTCTTGCGGCGGTGGAGTACAGGAGTCGACGGGAGAGCGTTCGGGGGTCGATTTATCGCGTCTAAGACACGATAAATCGTCCCCTGCTGGATTGATCGCTGCCTGCCGATCCAGTGGATAGTATAGACATACCCTTAGACAAAAAATTCAGATGAGGCACATACCTAGTCCTCAATGAGGAATAGTTATTGTCAACTGTGAAGGAAGAAAATTCTGAGTTAAGCAAATATTTCAACTCTTGTAATTTTTTTTTGTGAGCATGATGAGTAGGGAATTTCAAAGACTTTTGCAGATCCTAAGGAAGCCTTGATATATTGAAATCCAAATGCTACAGACATGGGTTACTTGATGAAATCACCCAGCAAGGACTAAATTTCTGGTCCTACAGCTCCAAAACACAGGCCCTTACTGCTTGAGCTAAAAAGAGAACTTATCAGGCAATAGAGCTAGGCCCCCAGCACTAGAGCCAAACCTACATACAAACATTATTATGTCACAGCCAGGCATGAGGAGATTTCTGAACATTTGTCCTGCCTTGCTAGGGGTTGGACTGGAATTAATCCCTGGTGCTGCTTGGGAAGAAGTGTTGTTGATTTTTCCCTTGTATTTCTCCACAAAGATATGACCAAAGGGTATGATTTTCCTTCTCTTACTAGACCCAACACTAGTCAAGACTTTAGTATTGCTACAGCTACAGCAGCTCACTCCTCTGGTCCCCAGTGATCATGTTCAGCAAAGTAGATTAGGCATTGTTTCTGCTCCCCATTGAACGGCTCATCAGTGAGGTGTGAGGGGAGCCTCTGTAGCCACTCCTTCTGCGTGATGCAACTGGAGCCTTCATTGGGATGGGCAGGGCTCAGAGGGATTTTCTCACAGGGCAGGGATCAAAAGGAGTCTGTTTCTGGACTGATTGCAAAGTTGGATGGATGTGAGTAGGAGGAGAGGAGAAGTAGGAATAACGATTGTGAGTGGGGGGGAGCTTTAGGGAGTCCTCTTTGTTTCTTTTTTCCGTTCACAAAAATACCAAGTTTTTGGCATTTAATTTCCTTATTTCAATGCCATGTTAGGGCAGTAAACTGCAACATGGAAAATACCAGAAAATGAAAAATCTAAGGTACTCAGAGGAGTGTCAAATCATTCCTATTTCACATCTATGTAATAGCTCTTTATTATTAATTAGGCAGTTACATTTACATTTTAATACACAGTTGGAGTAACGTGGAGGAGGTAGTGTTACTCTGAGGGCCTTAACTTTTAATATTGTCTGACTTTTTTCATGTATAAATTATTAAGTTGTCATAATATAGTTGTTGGCATCTGATTATTAGTTACAATACTATAATCCTGTAAGATGCTAAGTGAGTTCTGGAAAAGTTGTTCTTGAGCAAAATGGGACTGAGTCAAAAACCCATAGAAGTCAGAGGAAAGATTCCCATGGACCTCCGTAGACTTTAGATCAGGCCTAGTGTTCGCCCTCTTTGGGGAGTTCCAATAGCACAAGAAGTTCTGACGCGGAAACCGTGTGGCCAGCCCTTTTGTAGACCCTGGGTGTACATAACCTGGGTCTACATAACAACATAACCTGAAGCAAAGCCTGACTGAAGACTTATCATTTCTAAAGCATTCCAAAATTAGTTCTAATCCCCAGCAATCTAGCATTTTAGCATTGTTACCTAAGTGGAGGTGTTAAAGTTTTTTGTTTATTTGTTTAAATTCTGTGAGTGGACTTATTGTTTGTGAAGGCGAGGGATGAATATTACTGGCTGGAGATTAAAGTTTGCACCTTAGTGCTCAGTTGTTGACCTGTAACACACCTGTTACTGTAGACCTGGGCTGCTGCCTCAGACTACAGGCTGCCTCTTCTGTGTGGTTAGGTGTTAGTTTTGTGATGTGTACCCACTACCAGTGTAATTTTCACTCATCACCTGATCCAAACTAGACTATCAAGGCCTTAGAGGCAGTAATAATGTTTTAGAAAAAAACTCCATTCCTGAAAAGTAACTTTGTGGGGTTTGTTGCCTCTTACTGATCTCTAGGTTAAAAATGCTCAGTTTACAAGTAAAGAAACGTTTACTTTTCTAACTTTCAGCTCTTCAGACTCACCCTGCAATCTGAGAGTCATGTTTTATTTCCATTATGTGCACTAAAAAGGTTCAAGGCCTTTGGTTACAAGGCAGGGCAAACTAGGCCCCTGGCTACACCTGTGGTTGGACTTACAACTCTGTTGTTATTGCATGATGCCCTGGGTAATCTTTTGGTTGTGGTGTACAAGTGCCAGTGATTGGATTTTAGTAAATCTGATGATGCATGAATGGAATAGAATTCAGCTCATTCTCTCTTAGCTCTATCAACTCTGAAGGAGGAGCAGGAGTAAAGTGCAGTAAAAACATTATTTTTGTCACTATCATTGGCAGATATGACTCTGAATGCATGAAAGGAACAAATAGTTGCCGTTAAGAGTAGAACTGCATTGTAAAATTGTGTGTCTGTGTAAATAAAATGTCTGGAATGTTTGTAGAGTGTTAGTGGAGATCTGAAGTAATGTGATAGCCAATGAGAATGAAAATAATTGATTCAATAGAAATCTAGCACACTACTACTTATAATTCAAATTATTAATGTTAGACATAGGATAATAACCTATGCACCCGGTCATGTTCCTAAATAACATGAAAATATTTGCAGGCGTGCCATTCCTCTGGTGCATTTTGTAAGCTATTGCATATCTAGGTAGATTATTTTGTATATTTGCCCCACTTGTTGAGTGTCCGTTGCACAATTGGGTTTCAGTGGTGATTATCAGATGTCTGTTCTATCACTTGACCTCCTGTATATGAAATGAACTGGTGACTACTAAAGATTGCAATGCCACTTATGGAGATGGTGTTACTGTGCCAGTGTAATGGGCCACTTACATCAGTGGGAGGCAAATTTAAGCGTAGATGCACGCACAACTAGAGCAATGCAAGGCAGCTTTTGTCGACATAGCTTAGTCGATCTAAGACCGATCAGAGAGACTGTGAAGCTGAAGGCTTAGGCCAACTCTAGGCCTACGTATCAACTGAGAGTCTCTCAGGCTTAATGCTGGTGGAACGTTACTAAAATTGCAGTCAAATATGTAGTGTTTGGACTTTTCTAAATGCTGGTGAACAGATGACTGTAATACTCATGCTAATCTCTGTATTTCTCCTGCTAAGAGTAATATCTGTACATGTGTGTTATATAACTCTCATATGTCTGGGTCAGTCTTCATGATAACGAGTCATTGCTGAGTTTTGGGTACACCACTTAGACGAGAGAGTGGTCAGTTGATGCCCATTAAAAAGCAACATGTCCAGAGGAATCTCCTTGAGTCTCAATACAATAGGTAGCAAACAGCTTACAGGACAATGGAGAAGGGGGAACTCCCACACAGGATGACTTCACCGAAGAATTACCTCATGGACTCCCCCATCACCTTTTGCATCTGTGAGCACTGGGGTCAGAACAGTCATATGGCAGGGTTTCTGGGTAAAAGCTGACTAGTGGAAGGAAACAAGATTCTTTTTACCAGACTGGATCCTAAGAGGCAACGACTTTGTCTGCCAGGTAAAGGACCCTTGGCTGCCACAACTGGGATAAGCCTCAGAAGCTGAACCTATAAGACTTTGTTACTTTGATCAGAAGTTTTATAAAATAATAACCTAAGTTTATCTTTGTCTGTCTCTTTAGTATTCTTGTCCAACTGTTTCTTGCTACATTTTCATTTAAAATGAATAAAGTCTAGATAAGTTTATTGCAGGATCGGACTTACTGTTGTCTTATTGGATAAAGGAGGCCAGGAGGGAGATATGGGGAGGAACGGATGATGGTATGTGTTTGGCCCTTCGGAACAGAGGAACTTGGATTTTCTGTGATATTACGGTGAAAGGGCTCTGATGTCACAGGGGTACATTTACATGGTATCAAGGACTTGGATTTTCAAAAGCACTGTTTACATTTGATATTAAGGCTGGCAAAAGCGTAGGGAGTTATTAAGCAGTGCAGTTAACTTTCCTGTTGTTGAACAGTCTGCCCTGAAGTGGAACCCAGTGTTGAGATAGCAAGGGGAGTGACAGAGACAGGATGTTAATCCTCTAATGTTTCAGTGTGTTTATGTTGTACATGTAATAGCACTTTTGTGTATAGTCTGTTTCACCAGTATAGTCAGTCAAGTAGTTAGTTCCCCTGTTGTTTGTGTGGGTCTGTCACATGGCAACAGGAGAGAGAAAAACATTTTAAAAATAAGAAAATATAATTGTAAAACCACAAAAATTGTCAGAGGGACACAAGGGCAGGGTTAATGCTGGAAACTACTTTTTACTAAGTTTTTAAAAAATTTTTTAAAATTGACTAGATTACATGTTGCCGCTGTCCTTTTAAATGTTTGCATTTTTGGTCACACTTTTAAGTGTCCACTTATAAATAGTTTAAGGGGTTATAAATGACTAATTGCTAATCAGTTGTTAATAAATGATTAATACATGGCTAATCAGTTGTTGTTGTTAGAGTCCAACGTGTTAACAGATTACTTATAACCATCTATACAGCATACTGCTCATGTCTGTAATATGCTTATAACCTCTATTTAACAATTTCTAAACTCATTGTAAATTATTTATAAATGTACCATATAATATAAGGTGTGACCACATTTTTAATAGCAGGTCAAATTAATTGAGAACAAATTGCAATAATTGTAAACAAGGTAAAGTTTGAATGTTTAGAACTTCTTTCATTGAAAGTCTATTCATAAGTAAAGGGAGTTTTTTCTATGTACCAGCAAGAATATCTATTACAATATGATGGCTATGTGCAAGAACACTGGTATTTTGAGTCCTTCTAATGCTCTGCTTGATGTTTCATCCAATTTTGTAGCGTGCCTTCTGGATTTGAAGGTATGAAGGAACAGGAAATCTGCAACAAAATAATGGCCAAAATGCTGGAAAACTATAATACCTTGTTTGAGCTGGAGCACACAAAGAAGGATGATGAAAATCATGCATGTGAAGAGCTAGCAAGAATTATTTTAGTGAAAGTGAGTACCTATAATATTGCCCTTTCAGTTTTGATGCAATACTGTGATACAGGTGAGACCATGCGGGGGCAGTCTAGAAATCTTCACAAGCTGGATGGGAGGCATTGATGCTGGTATAATACATTTCTCTGATATTGACCTTCATATGCTGCTACCACCATTTCACTCTTCTAACGACTCTGTCCTTCCGCAGGTCAGTTTTCTACTGCTATTTGCCTTTTGATGCCCTGAGAGTTTATTCTATTTAACATGTTTATTCTCTATTAAATTAACATAGGGAGTGCCTATGATTAAACAGGAAACATCTCTAATAATTTCATTTATTTAAAATAAAAAGGTGGATCTAATAGTGGTGGTGTGGAGGGGGGTGACTGAGGTCGGTGTCCAAGACAAGCAAGTATAATGCCCAGGGGCCACCTTGGCAAAGTTTCAGTCGTGCACCGACCTAAAACATCGTAGTCCCTCACCATTGACCTGCAGTAAAGAAAGTATCACCTTCCTGGAAAGACCTGTACTTCTGGAAGCAATTAGTTGTAGACCTGTGGCTAATGTTTGGTGTTATTCACAGTCGATCTGGTATGATCTAACCAAACGCTCAGGCAAAAGGAATAAGAGCAACCTGTTTACTCCAAGCTGCATACATACTTAATGGGCCCTTTGACGGTGTGTGTTCTTCCATTCCTGAAAGTCACCTTCCTTGTGTCCTGGCAAGTGTCCCTAAACCTGCTGATTGTGTAATAAATTCTAGATGGCGCAGTGGAACTTATAAAAGGAATGATAATAAATTAGTTCAGTATGTAGGAGTAAGTCAGTGAGGTTCCAGATTACAAAAGCTCATGCATCAGCAGAAGGTAGTAGCACGTTGCTCCCTGTCACAAAAATACAATTACTTTACAGATTTATTGGCTTGCTCTGGGTCACATAGTCCGGCAACTTGCATGTGGTTTGTGTGCAAAGTCTATTCTTCTTGCAAAGCTATTGAGTAATTCCCATATACTGCTGGCTAGTGGCAGACTTACAGTCATTGCAGTGTTTGCACAAGTGAAGAGTTTGGTCCGGATTCTACTCCGATTTACACCCTCGTGCAATCCCGTTAAACTCTGTGGTGTTGCATGGGGTATGAACCAGGACAGAATCTGGTGCAGCGAGCACTGGCTACAGTTTGAAAATGCAGGTATGCCAGAGCCTTCCAGCTCCTCTTTGCCGGGTCCAGTTGGTTCATCCTAGGGTGGCAGTCTCAGTGGCCTCCCAGCCCTCATTCCACATGGAGAGCAGCTGAGGGGAGCCTTTGCAGCTTCCTGACATCATCATTCCCTGGCCTCTGAAATTTGGACGTGGGGTATTTCCACCCCCTTCATCATTATCTGTATTGCCATTGGTTGGTACTGCCCTTTCATCCAACTCCCTCTCCTACCATTGCAGTCCTCCAGGTGCCCAACCTCACCTTCCCTGTCCGCTGTGCCCATCTCTCCCCTCCCCTGCCTCTTCGCTTCTCCCTCTCTCCTCCCTTCATCCCACAATTCCTGTCCTCATACTTTAACCCCAACTTGTCTCTCTGCCCCAACATCCAAAATTAAGTTTGTATAATAAAACAAAAGTTGTAAAATAAAATAACCACCTGGTGCTATCAGGTCATGGTCCCTCCTACCCCATATCACTGTGTCTATGTTTCCTCCACTCTTCTTGGCGTATTTTTAGCCTTGTTTCCTCCTAGGTGTGTGCTGCGACACTAGGGCATTGGGACACGATTCTGTGGGAATCCTTTATTTTGAAATGCTACGTGAAGAGCCCAGGGGATGGGAACAGAGGGGTAAATAGGTGGAGGAAATTAATTTAAAAATGTGTGTGTCCAGCGCCAGTTTAGACTTTTAAAAATATCAGTGTTGGCACAGAAAGCTTCCTGATGCAGAGCTGGGGGCAAGCGCCAAGGGCCTTGGACAAAGGCCTTTTGTGTTTTTGTATGGTTCTGTGCTTCTGTTTTGTTGCTGAAATCAGGAACCTGCTCTTAGACAGAGCCTTAGTATAGATTTTGTTTTTCTTCCCCTGTATCTCCCCTGTTTTTCATGAGTGCATTTCAGACACGAGATTGTCAGCTGTCCTCACCTCCTGCATACATAATGCTCTACTTTTAGAACAGGCGCCACGCCTATTCTAGGTATTTGCTGGTAAAACATGATACAAGGGGATTATGGCTTTTGCCATCCCTTCCCACTTTGGAACTGTAGCATCTTTGCTTGAACTCCATTATGCTCATCACCTTCTTGACCTCACGTGACGCATGATGCCCTGTGGCCTGGGTATCTTAAGATCTGCCCAGACTACAGATAAAACCCTTTGCTTCCTTAAAGGAAGAGAATATGCTCTTTTTAAAAATAAAAACGTGGCTCATTCAACCAAGGCCATGCAAAGATCACAGGTGGTTTTTGAGTTGCATTTTGAAAAAACACTTGAATGCGAAAACCATGCAAGATGCAAAGCATTTAAAACTCAGCACCTCGTAGTTTTATTATTGTACAAAGTGCAAGAGTTTTGAAAAATTCAGTGTTTTTGAGGAAACCAAAAGTAAATAGCTTTATGAGAAGGAAAAAAGAGAAGTGACTCCACAATGCTATAACAATGTAAAATATCAAAGGCGAGATGGTGACTCTTGCTGTGTGTCTGCACAGGGGGTGGGGGGGGCAATGAGCATCTTCATCCCTGCGTGTGTTTCACCTCTCTCACAGATGGGCAAGGGTGTGGACAGGTCATTGGCTCCACCCCCCTATGTGCTCAGTCGCTGTGCACAGGAATATAAGGTGTGCCAAGGAGAGGGCTGGCTTTCCCCATGGATCAGTAGGGAAGGAGGGACTGAATGAAGACTTTCCAAGTTACAGTTCAGTCCCTGCTTTGCTCCCGGGACAGCGCAGCTGCATGCTGCCTGTTACTCAGGCCATATTGTAAGATTATAATCTCAAAGCAATGAAAAAATCATCAAGGCTGTTATTCCTTAATTTTGGGTACCGTTCAATGACCTTGAGAGAGTTTCTGGACCATTATCATATAGTGGCATAATTGTCAAATTGGGGGTGACTCCTTTCTGTGGCATTTGCTAGCCTAAAGATAATAAGAGATAAACTAGTAGAGTAGGCACACATTAACAAGAGGGTTATGTGTACAGATTAGATATCTATCGTGTGTTGCATACCTCTGATTTACAAGAGCCATAAAATAAAACCTCAGTGCACCCTCCTAATTTCTGCATATATGGAGTAGTGTCACATCAGAACTAGTTATTACTTGACAATCTATCCAGGAAAGGGGACAGTATAACTGGGCTGCTGTGTATGAATTGCACTGTGGGTATGTGTGTGCTAAAAGCAAATGTTACTCATGTTATGCTTTAGAGCAGAATTCTCAGGATGTTTAGATATGGTCTTGACTGAGTTTTGTGGCATTAAACTGAAAAATAACTTACATAATTAAAATATAAATCAATTCCCCATTTCACTATTGCCATTTTATCACCTGACCTGTGAATAAACTGGTTTAAGAAGCCTACCCAATAATAATGCTTCCTTCCATTTTTATCTAGTGCCTTTCATTCTAGAGGATCTCAAAGTGCTGTTCAAACTGCAATTATAGACAGTCCAATAATACACAATTATCCATTGTTATGCAACCACATCTCTGATGAAATGTGACTACTGATTAGCAGTGATCAACAATGCAACCCAACAGTTAGGAATTGGAAGTGAAGCATGCTTTTATTGAGTTTGAATTGCGGAGGGAATCTAGGCAGGCAGAATATAATTTCTCCAGTGAGAGTCTGGCCAGATTACCACTGCTTCCAAAAAAATATAGTGGGCTTTTTAATTACCAGAAACCATCAAGACCTCAGTCTTACAGTATATCTCAGGTGAAAGATGACACTCCAGTAGCAGGGTGCCTCTCAGCAAAATGCTAAGGCCTTGGTTGAGTGCTGACTTGGATGGAAAAGTGCAACCTGGCTCCCAGCCACACACAATTTTTTTCCTTTGGAGGTCTCCCACCCAAATATCTTCTTAGCAGAACACTTTAAATTTGTAATAACTGACCAGCTGACAGCACAGAAGGGTGTCATTACATGTAAATGCTTGCACTGAAACACAACAGAACCTGCTTAAGCAGTGAGTTGAACAGGGCTTGATTCTGCTCCACGTTTAGCTATAGGAGATGTGGCAAAGCCATATAATTGTCCTTTTCTTCCCCTTTTAGTGACAGAGCAGACATCCCCTGTTTGCCTGGATGCAAAATACCAAGTAAACTCCGTTTATAAAATTACAAGCAATTTCTAGGTACATTCCAATGAGTAGCAGGGGATGGGAAGTTAGTTAGGGGACTTAAAACTGTAGCATGATATGAAAACTGGTCTCCTGCCAGCTTTTTCTTTTTATGTGGAATGTACTTTTCCCTTCACCCATTTCTACTGTTCAACTAAATGGTTCCACTTCACATAGGGGATTAGCTGGCAAAACAGATTTCTGCACTTTGTGCTTTAAATCACAGCAGTATTCTAGCAGAAATGTGTATGCTGCTAGCATAGCGTTATGTCCACTGTTGGTCTATGAATGCTTAGTTAGATTTTTGTGAGAGAACTATCAAGTGCAATTGTGTTTGGAAATGAAATCATTTGGGGCCTGATCATCAGGATGTTGAGCGCTCTGGGCCCAGTCCAGCAAAGCAAAATACTTAAGCATGTGCCTTACTTTAAGAGTATGAGTGATCCCATTGACTTCAATCTTAGCCACATGCTTAATTACTTAATTGGATCAGGCTAGAGGGCTCAGCCCTTGCAGAATCAAGCATGTTATCTACAGGTAGAACAATGAAGGTGGATGTTCAAAAGTAGTTAGCATTGGTCTAATTTTGCTCCCATTTAAGTCAGTGGTAAAACTCCATTTCCACTTTATACTTTTGCAAACTCCATCCTGAGATTACTGGAAAGAAAACATCCTGCACGCAGCAATTTTTAAAATAATAGTCTCAGCCCTCTTCTCGCAAGTATCTAAAACAGCCTATACACTTCTATGACAATGGCCAGAAAGAGTTGCCCAAAACTGTCCCAATGGGAGTCTGGTGGTGAAGTCCCTCACCTTCCTCCCTAATTTTAATCAACCAATCTTCCCCTTCACTCATCTCGGCTGACATACTGGACATTATACATGTAACAAACACGAGAGTTGTCCCTCCACTGGTCAGGAAAAGAAAGACCCGTGTTCTAGTCCCAAATGTGTCTCTTGCCCCGGGGAAGCTTTTGAAGTTCTGAACAGCTTCCTTCTACTTATGTCCAGTTTAATATTTTTCCGTGCCATTCTAACATTGTACTAAGGCTAGGGTTTTCTAAAGGGCTCAGCGTTGCTCAACTCTTCTCCCATTGAAGTCAGTGGGAATTGATCCTGTTTGAAAACCCCACCTTAAGGATATAGTAGCCCTGATGAACAGTGCAGGCTTTCTTTTCTTTCTGTATTACCATATTTGGACAAGACAACAACAGGACTCTCCCATCTGGGCCAAAGAGCAATCAGTGTTTATGATAGCAGACTCAAATAAGAGAGCAGAGAGCAGTGTGGGGAAAAGCACCTGTGGATATCTTTCTTTGGCTTTCTGGGTAATGTTTCCTTGTTTAGTGAATGTTGTACTTCAGTGTTGTCCGCCAATGAGCAGATGGGCATATTTATAATAGGAGCAAAAAGTGATTCAACCAGGATGACATTTTAAGATGAGAGCTGACAGGAAATGAGCAATATGAGATGTGTAAGGGAAAGTTTACAAGCCTCCAAACACTTCACCTACAGTAGTGTGTTGAATGCCAAGGGGGGAAAGGAATGCTATGATGTTTAGTCTATGTATAAGTCAAGTAGGAACGGGAAAGATCAGATGATCCTCAAATAATCACATGTATAATTTTGGCATCTCTTTCTAATGCTCTTGACTCAGCAACTTTAAGTATTATTATTATTATCATTATCATTATTATCAATAATAATTAATTATTTGTATTACTTTAGTACAGGGGTAGGCAACCTATGGCACGCGTGCCGAAGGCGGCACGCAAGCTGATTTTCAGTGGCACTCACATTGCCCGGGTCCCGGCCACCAGTCCGGGGGTATCTGCATTTTAATTTAATTTTAAATGAAGCTTCTTAAACATTTTAAAAACCTTATTTACTTTACATACAACAATAGTTTCGTTCTATATTATAGACTTATAGAAAGAGACCTTCTAAAACATTAAAATGTATTACTGGCACGCGAAACCTTAAATTAGAGTGAGTAAATGAAGACTCGGCACACCACTTCTGAAAGGTTGCCGACCCCTGCTTTAGTACCTGGGAGCCCTATTAATGGACCAGGATCCCACTTTGCTATACACTGTACTTATGTAAAACAGAGTTATTGTGTTAGTGTTGTTAATACATAATCGTTCATTTAGCTGAAGCACTTGCAAAATTATAAAGCAATAGATAGTGGTGTTACTAAAGTCAGATCTACACTGCAAAGTTTTGTTGGTATAGCTTTATTAATTAGGAAAGTGAAAATCACATCCCTAACCATCATAGCTACGCTCCCTCCGTCCATGTAGACACAACTTAAACCAAAGTATAAATTGCTGGTATAGTTTATGTCACTGGGGGAGCTAGTTTAACGAGCCCTTAATATAATCCTGAATAAATACACAGATCTGCATATGTACAAATGATGTAAACTTTGGCTGTACCGTATGTGAAGTGATAGATTATTTAAATTCAGTGTATTGTGAGAATAAAATAGAGTACTTCAGGTATAGCACATCTCAACAATGATTGAATCAGAGAGCAGATCTTTTCCTCCCTCCTTCCATCTCTATTTCTCAAGTACCTTCTTTAAAGATAACCGCCAAATTTTTGTCACTGAAATCATTAGGGAGCTTTGCCTATTTTGTATATATAAGCAGGCAGGTGCTTGGCAGTAATGCTGAGTGATCTGAGTAAATAGAAATAGTTATTTGTGTGTGTGTGTGTGTGTGTGTGTGTGTGTGTGTGTGTGCATGTTTAGTTTTAAGTGTTTTTATTGTCTGTTTATTTTTGGGGTCTCCTTATATTAGGCCAGTTGTGAGCAGTCCCTGCCTATCAATCTGACAAGAGCTTTAGAAAGAGAGGCACCGAAGTCAACGCTACGAAGCAAGGTACAGTAAAATGGGCATATTCGCAGACACACCATTCTGTTGTTGTTGTTCAGTTTCCCTGCCAGATGGGAAACAAGAATTTGGGGGGTAAAGGGAATGAGAGTTTTCATGTTGCCAAGATCCCGTTGGTCCTCTTCTTCAGATTCCTCAATCTTCATGCTGCTTCTCATTAATTAGTCACACAATTGATCAGTCAAGTTTCACAGGAACCCTGTGTGATAGCTACGTATTATAACCATTTTAAAGTTTGATAAAGTTGAGACCGTGTTTAGAAGAAGGGCATGTTACAAGCAGGCAGACCTACTCTAGACAGGTTAAGTGTAGATATTTTTCACTGTGGGGAGTTCACCAGATTCTGAACTATGGTGTTTTGATCTACACTACTTTTAGGGTGGGATTTTCAAAAGGGCTTAGCATTGGTGCAACTCGCCTCCCAGTGTAGTCAGTGGCAAAACTCCCACTGACTTCAGTGGTAGCAGAGTTCGGCAGGCACTGTGCACTTGTGAAAATCCCATCATTAAATACGTTTAAGGACAGATCATGCCTAATAGCACACTGGCCTGTGTTGGGGTCTGAGTGGAGTCACACCATCCCAGGGGCTATGCGGGAAGGCAGAATGCGTTCCTGGGTGCATAGGCTAAGCACAGCTGCTGCACTATTTCTTAAGGGAGTGCCACATGATCTTCTCTGCATTTCTGGCCATTTCCGCTGGTCTCTGTGGAGTGTGGAGGTTGGGGTCTTTGCCCCACCTCTACGGTACCTCTTTAGGTTGTGGCTTGCGCCCCAGGGTCTTCTAGAAGTAAGCAGTCTCTGTTCTCTGGACAGCCCAGTAACTGCAATCGTGACTGGTTCCTGTGCAGGTATGAGAGGGGACAAAAGCTCTAGCTACCTGTTATACACCTTCTGTCTCTCTTCTACCAGGTCCAAGCACCCTTAGGCCCTGATCCTCTATACTTAGAGGGAACTAGCTTGCGTGTAGTTAATAGCACATTTCCAGTCATTAGAAAGGTCCTATGTTGTATACATAGGGAATCTCTGGGACAGTAATTGAATGAACTACGTAAGTAAATTTAAAAGTAAATAATTTACTGAAATGGCAAATACTTATTTTAAAATTCAAATTGATGAATTCTCTTTGGGCTGTTTCCCTATGGCAAGTTTCTGTTATTGTGCGTGTGCTTGACTTTTTGATCAGCAGCACAACTTCTACTTTTTCAGGGCTGACTCAAAGCAAGAGTAACATGAGATGCTAGTCTGGAGAGCCTGAATTTCTCCCACATCTAGGTCATGCTTTTCTTTGAGATCATGTTCTATTTATGGATTACTTTACAATAAATAGATAAATCAGACACCTGTTCTTAAACCACTCAGAGAGAACAATAAAGGTCCTTAGTGCTGATCCGAGCTTTGCTGTTCCATAAACAAATCCACGTTACAGCACATACACCTAGCTTTCTGGTAAGTTGCAAGGAATTTTAGCCATGCATTTGCTTTGGCAATGTTTGTTTGCAGGTTTTATTTTAATTTTGATACTGATTTCTTATTTAGCATGACTATGAGGGTTTGTCTACATGGTAGTTTAAGCCCCGGGTTAGTGGGACTCGAATCAACAGACCCTGGGTTCAAGAACCCAGGGCTTGAGTGTCTACATTGATTGTTAACCCTGTTTTAAGAATTTTCTAACCCGGGCTCGAGCTTGGATCTCTGATGTCCACGCTGCAGCACGCAGACTCAGACTCCCTAGCGCCCTCCTGAAATGTGGCTGCTCTAGCCCTTTGACTGTGATGCATTGTGGGAAAACATGACTGTCCATCCTGCATGTTACAGGAAGTTTGAACATCCCGCCAAGCAGTCATTTTGGTCTTTGCGCTCCTAGCTACTGGACCCAGCAACACAGAGGAGGCATCTTTCGATGAACTTTTCTTGCTTGCACTTTCACTCCTCTGTCAGGATGCGTGAGATGCGGGTGGATGTTTCAGCAGTGTTTTCTAAGCCACCAAAGGCACCTCATAGAGCTTATGATGGAGAAGGAGAAGCACACAGACCTGCAGACTCAAACTAGTTGATGCTGCATATGACACTCAGTACAGCTGCTGATGCCCCCTAGATAGACAGCCGCTTCTGAAGCATGGCCACAAGCACAGACTGGTGGGATCCCATTGTTATGCAGACCTGGAATGACCAGCAGATATTCCAGAGCTTCCGCATGAAGAAAGGTACATTTCTGGAACTTTGTGAGCCGCTTACCTCAACCTTCCAGCATAAAGACGCACACATGAGAGCACCCTTGCTGGTCCAAAAGCGGATTGGTATAACTGTCTGGAACCTGGCTACCCCAGACTGCTACAGGTCCGTTGCTAACCAGTTGGGTGTCAGAAAGTCAACTGTGGGTAAAGCAGTGGCAGAGGTTTTCTGAGGCAATCAGGCACGTGGTTTACCCCAACGTGATGGGATATTCCTGAAGTAATTGCTGGCCTTGAGAGAATGGGGTTTCCAATCTGCGTCGGGGCCATTGGTGGGACTTGTGCCCATAGTTTGCCATCCTCGAGTTGTACATGAGTACATAAACCAGAAAGATGTAGGCTTTTGTGGATCAGAGGTCGATTTATGAATGTCAACGGGGGTGCACTGAAAAAATTCATGATGCCAGGGTTTTTTGCCGGTTGGGAGTCTACATTCATGGACAGGCTGGGACACTATTCCCACCAAATGACATTGTCATAAATTGAATTACTGTCCCCACCATTGTTTTGGAGGACCCTGAGTACCTCCTTTTGCCTGGGCTCATGAAACTGTGTCCTGATTTCCGAGGTCCTGACAGAAGACAGTTTAATTACACTCTGAGCAGGTGTAGAATGGTGGTTGAATGTGCTTTGACAGATTGAAATCTCTCTGGAGGTGTTTACAGATCTGTATGGATTCTATATCAGTGCTGTCTGCATTACTGTAGCTTGCTGTGTCTTTGTGCTGCCCAAGGTGACCCATGTCACCCTGAATGGATGTGTGACAGCAAGGGGCTGCTGAATGCAACAGGTCACTTCACTGTCTTCACTCGGCACCTGCTGCTGGCTTCCATCCAGGGGCAGCTCCAGGCACCAGCGCAACAAGCGCGTGCCTGGGGCAGCAAGCCGCGGGGGGGGGGGGGCGTGCCGGTCGCCATGAGGGCGGCAGTCAGGCAGCCTTCGGCAGCGTGCCTGCGGGAGGTCTGCCAGTCCCACGGCTTCGACGGAAATTCGGCGGCGGGTACGCCGAAGGTGCGGGACCGGCAGATCACCCGCAGAAACGCTGCCGAATCTGCGTGACCAGCAGACCGCCCGCAGGCATGCCGCCGAAGGCCACCTGACTGCCGTGCTTGGGGCGGCAAAAAACATAGAGCTGCCCCTGCTTCCATCAGGCCTCATGCTGGGTTCTGGGGCCAGTAGGCACCATCCTGGCTGACCAGGTCATCATGCACCACCATTGACTCCATGCTCGGCATAGCACCCAATCAAACTCCTTATAAAACAGGTGTGGTGACGGGTTGCCCGAGGTGCGTTTCTGTTCTCTGGTTTTCCTGTACTCAATCTTGAGACGCTTAATCCACTCCCTGCACTGGTCATTGATCCAGTAAATTTGCATCATTGCCAGTTCCTTCGCTATTTGCTGGTATGCATGGTCATTCCTGGTCCTCTTACTGAAGTCTGCTGTTTTGCTGTCCTTGTACCTGTGACCATGAAGCTGCTTGCTTCGTGAAAGATGACTTCTGGTCAGTCTCTATTGTGGCACAGAAGGCTCTCTCCTGGTGTGTTTGTAACCCGGTGTTCAGAAGCCAATGGAAGGTTAAACGCTGACTCCGAGCTGCTATACTGTACTAAGGGGGATTGCTGCTTCTTCCCTGGAGTCGATTGGAGATTCTTGGGCTAGAGAGGAAGTTGGCCCATGGGATTTTGGGATAATTTTGGCGGACTCCCAGGACCTGAGTTGTGGGGACTGCCACTAAACTGCAAAGCAATAGGCTCAAACCGCGGAACCTGGCTTGACTTGGGCTCAAACCCTCTACCCCTGCAGGGTCCAAGCCCTAACCTGAGAGATTTGTGTGTAGATGGAAATGGGGTTTTGGGCTCAAGTCTGGTCTCAGCCAGGGCTTATGTTGCAGTGTAAACATATCCTGACAGTCATGAGATCTTGAATCATTCTCATTAACTTTGCTTATGGCATCTTAGCACTTAAGGTGTCAGATGTGACAGATGCTGAATGTGTGCAGATGGCTATGCTAGATGGAAACACATGTGGGTCTTTTGTCTCCTGAACCCACTTGTTGAACTAATAACAGTGGGGGTTACAGTCACAGAAAGGGGAAAGCAGAAAATGAGCCACCCTAAAATATTATGGATGTGCCGTTTCCAAACTCAGGAAATACAAGCTCAGCACATGCTTGCAGTATTGTCTGTTTAACCCTTCATGCATTCATTATTGAACGCCCCTTGATTACCAAAATGCATGTTTTGCTGTATGAATATGGAAAAGTCTCTCTGCCTCACCCATATAATTAAATAAAATCTCGATCTGGCAACTGTGAAGAGAACACTTTTTAAGAACAGAGGAAAGTGACAAATTTTAAAAGGTGACCAATTAAGGGCAACTTGGCAACAGGGAATTTTATATGTGTAGCAAAACTTTTTTGTAGATGCTTTCAATTTCCTTATAAAAATACTGCTACATTCTCTAGCACCAGTCTCCAACATTCCAGCTTATCAGACTGTATGTGTTTTGTTGCAATATCTATAACAAATGAAGTAGATTAAGGCTTTGTCAAAGCGGAGCAAAGTCATGTTTATTTTTTTAGTAAGAGAGATGGTCTCAGGTAAAAGGTCGCATATATAAATAATCTTGGGAGGACAAAAGGAAATGGAAGGAGAACTGAATGTGGGTATTCATTACACAGTGAAACAGTGGTGATATATATTTGAAAGCTATTTGGCTGTGCTTTTTATTACTTCCATCTCAAAAGTCTCTGTTGA